AGGTACAGGTCTTGTAACTGCAGGTACAAAAGACATTATCTTGGTTGCTGCTACTTCAGGAGAAACCTCTTCAAAGTGTTGGAAAGGGGTCTCTATGAATTCACCATCCAATTCTACATAGCGGAAAGAATTTAGATGGCTTATCATGTATTCCTCTTCGCCATGAACAGTTATAATTTTCCCCTGGACTGGGTACTTGAGCATTTGATGCAGAGAGGAAGTGACGGCTCCAGCATTGTGAATCCAGGGTCTTCCCAACAAGGAAGAATAGGAAGGACGAATGTCCATCACATAGAATGTGGAGTTGAAGGTTTCAGTTCCCACTTTGATCGGGATGTCCACCTCCCCTTGGACCATCCTTTTAGAACCATCAAAGGCTCTGACAATGATATTGTTGGGTTTCAGGGTTAAGCCTTCACAATCCAGTCTATCCAAGGCTTTCTTCGGCATGACATTTAAAGACGAACCGGTATCAACCAAAACATGAGCTAGGGTGGTTCCCATATACTCCACCGAGACATGTAGCACATCATTATGTTTTCTCCCTTTTGAAGTTAAATCAGCATCGGAGAATCCTAGACCATTGTCAGTTGTTAAGCTAGCTACACATTCCTGGAACTGATCCGCGGAAGTTTCCTGTGGCACGTGGGCCGTCTTCAAAAATATTATCAAATCTTTAGCATGAGCCTCTGAACAAAGTAGCAGGGCTAACATAGAGATCTTTGAGGGGGTTTGCCCCAGTTGTTCCATACCATCATAATCGCTTTTCTTGATTATTTTCAAAATCTCTTCCATTTCTTTTTTGGGAGGTCTCAGGGATGACCAACGGCTGAGCCTTCATCCTGACAGACTTTTCTTGGGTCCCTTTCCCTCTATCATCAGCAACAACAGAGGGGATAACCACAGGAGTTACAACTTCTTCAATAATTGGAGTTCTCGCTGATATATTGACCGGTACAGGGGTAACCTTAGGAGCAGCTGAGGGTCTGAAGATTGCCTTTGGAGGGGAAATCTCCAGAGAGAAAATTCTTCCACTGTAGGTGATTTTGCTCGTTCCGGCAATGTTTCCAATGTCCGAAGTCTCTTCATCACAAATATCTTCAGTTGATTCAATTTTTTTAATACCGTGGTAGTAGATTTCTCCACCATAGTTCCACGGTATTGATTTGTCGGACTTGTATGGGATGGGCCCAGGCATGGTTATCTTCAAAGGTACAGTCTTCGGAATGGATGTAATCTTAACAGGTCTTTTGGAGACCTTGGAAAGATTGGCGGATATGGTTATTATTGAAACATCATTGACAGGAGTCGGTGTAACAGGAGTCTTTTCAAAAGGATTTCTTGGTTATCCATTAGGCGCTGGATGCCTAACTTCAACAATGGGCAGTCGGTTGGTAAGGATGAACAAAGGCAGCAATCTTCTTCACAACCTAGGAAAATCCCAGCCTTCAGCAAATTCAACTTGATTATTGGTAGAGGATTCATCAAATCATCAACAATAGCAACAAATAGATCCTCTTCAACAGCATGGGCATTGTGGCCATGCCTTGGCATTGGAGCAGAGATCACATTCGGCTTTTCAGATGTGTTGAATTCAACTTCTTTAGCGTCTATCAAATCCTGAATCTTATTCTTGAGGGCCCAAAAATTGTTGGTGTCGTTCCCTATACTCACTGAATGATAAGCACACTTGGCGTTCGAATGATAGAATAGAGAAGTTGTATTCAGATTCTTCGGAGCCTCTTTCAAAGTGGAAAGGTTTAACTTCAAGAGATGGGGTAGAACCTGAGCAGGAGTCATGTTTATCTGGGTGAATTACCGTACAGGCCTTTCCACCCTTGTTTGGTTGGTTCTTGGTTGATTGTTTCTGGGATGATCAGCTGCAGACTTCTGAATCATTACGACCCACACCGCTGGCCGATGCTCAACTATTCCTTGAACTCCGTGGGATTAGACATCTGAGACTTCTTTCTTTGATGGAAAAGTCTTTTTGATGGCAGCGGAAGCAGATGCATCTTTCTGAATTTTGTCGTTTTTTATGTCGGCTTCAACTCTCTCACCAGTTAGAATTAAATCGGTGAACTCCGTAGACAAACTTCCTATCAGGTGATTAAAGAAAGGACCAGACAACGTCCCCAAGAACATATCAACTAGCTCTCTTTCAGATAAAGGTGGTTGTACTCGTCCCGCTAAGTCTCTCCATTTCTGGGCATACTCTTTGAAACCTTCATTTGAGACCATGCCCATACTCTGTAATTGAGTACGGGTTGGTGCTAAGTCCGCATTGTATTGATACTATTTGTAGAATGTAGCTGCCAAATCCTCCCAATTATGCACATCAGACCTCTCTAGCTGATAGAACCAATCTAGCTGCGTCCCTGAAAGACTGTCCTGGAAAAAGTGGACCCACAGGTCCTTGTCAGAAGAATATGGTTGAATTTTCCTGACATAAGATCATAGGTGCATCTTTGGGCAAGACACCCCATCGTACATAGCAAACAGCGGCACCTTGAATTTAGGAGGGATTACAATTCCAGAAACCAACCCTAACTCTTCAAAGTCCAGCCCAGGAACTCTCTATATCTCCATGGCAGCTAGACGCTCTTCCAAGTTCTTGTATTTGTCATCGGCCGAAGGATACTATTGTTCAGAGTAATCCTCATCTTCCTCTTCTTCAAATTCAGAATCAGATGGCACTACAGCTCCTTTACCCTTTCCTTCTCCCTCTTCAGATGTTGATGGGAAATCTAGGACCCTTCTGGCTTGACCTTCAATTCTTCTGCCCAAGGTAGCCACACCAACCCTCTTCTTCTTCTTTTTCTGTTTTTCCTTTTCAAGTAGAGTCTTGAGCTCCTCCTGCCCCTTGGTCAAGGTCAGAAGTAGTTATTGGAATTGTGAATTATGGGCTTGCAAATCTTTGACCGTTTGTTCAATATCCATCTTGCTGAAATAAACAGCAGAGAGATGAAGAAACTTGGTGTGAATATTTGTTTATGCATATGATGAATGATATGTATTCATGTAATGCATTCAAGGATTCAGAAATTCAAATTTGTTTTAAACAAAAAAAGAACACACGTCATATTAATAAGATAGAATTTGTTAGTACATTAATGCCCTATGGGAAAAATAATACAAAACTCTAAGGTAGAAAGACGTTGCGCATCCTCTTTGGTGCAATGTAGGTGTTGAGAGTCTTCTCTTCATGGAGTTGACGAGTAAGTTCCAAAACCTTCTTCTCGCTGGCGTAGAATTGGGCTTCAAAAGTATCGCGTTCTCCCTTGAGTTGTATCCAACTCCTTTGCAAATCTTCCAGTGATGTTGGCATGTCAGGATGTAGGAGGGTGTATGGAACCTCTCCTTCCATAACAGACTCTTTGATCACAGAGAGAATGTAAGGGTAAGGCATCATAAGACTTTGGGCGCGGGTTCGTACCCACTTGAGCTAAGGCTCAAGGGGGATGGAATTCTTGTGTCCCAAGGTCTTACTGTCCACCTTGTTGGGCATCCTCCAAGCTTGGATAAACCTTTGTCGAAGTCCTTGATCGTCACTGTTGAAGTCAAAAACTAAGTCTGGAATCAGCATGTCATGTGGGCCATCCCTTCGGGCATACCCAAACTGTCTCAGAGCTAAGAAAGGGTTGTAGGTAATGCCTCCCGTAATGCCAAGTAGAGGGACATTAGGGAATTCCCCATAACGGTCAATGATGATAACATTTTCTCTGGATCGAGAACACCAATGGACATCTGAATGTGTAAGAGTCATCAATCATTGTGACCACCTCAAACCTTTCTCATTCTTCAAGACTGATTGGGGAAGATGCGAAATAAACCATCTTGCTGTTGTACCCCAATTTTTGACCTAAGATCCCATTTTTATTTTTTGCATTTTTTCAAGATAAGTCAAGGTCACGAAATACGGTCGGTTTTAACGCCTCACCTTCGAGCTTTGACTATGCAGAAATTGTCAAATATTTTGAACATTCTTAGCCTATGTATCACTAACTTCTAATCAAGCACGAAGTGTGTGTTTTTTGTTTCTTTGATTTCATTTGCAGGAAACAGATCTGAATCAAGAGCATCAGGCGTCATACCTCGATTAGGGTTCAGAATCTCTCAAGCCAGAAGTACGGTTGATTATGGATTCTCGAAGATTGATTCATCAAGGCACAACCGTTGCACCCTTAATTTTGCCCCTAATTTTTTCAGTCGCACATTCACACCATATTTTGTCATTTGGTCACAATCATTAGTAAATATCTTCATTCATCACATTTTGCATCATTAGTCGTATTTAAGACCGGAAAAAGTCAGTTTAAATCAAAGTTTGCATCGTCTTTCAGTTGTAAAATACCCGACATTTCACTTCATTCATTTTGATCTCTTTACTCGTTTCTTGCATTGCTCCAAGTTGTTTATATGTCGATAATAAAAATATTTTGGTTTTATAGACAGATTGTTAAAAGCGATTCAACAATGTGCGAAAATTAGTAGCGAGAAAATATTTCAAGTTTTCACCTTTTTACCGATCATTTTATGAATCTGCGTTTCGCGTAGATTATGACGGTATGCTCGCTTTATTTTTTTGGTACAGTTCGAAGTCTCGTTTTTAACCTTAAACGTCTGTTTAGTCTGATATTTTTATTATTATTTTATTTTTGATTTTTTGACTTCTTGAATATTTTTTCTTTAATCTTTGTGACATGTAGATTATTTTAATGTGTTCATTTTATTTTTTCGGATAAATTTTCGTCCGTTTTTTATCATTTTCGGTCATTTTGGGTCTTTATTTTTATTCATAAAATATTCAAAAAAAATCATTTTTAATTGAGTTAATTTAAATACTTTCTGTTTTATTTCATTTTATCATTAAAAGGGCTTTTTTTAGTCACAAAATATATTATTCACTCAATACTCTCCCTCCTATTTTTTCAATCCACACAATCTTTCCCCCCACAATCAAAAAACTCCCGCCTGCATACACCCATCACCATCCCATTATGCAGTACATAGTCTCTGCACCTATTCTTCCTCACATGACAACCAACATCTCTCAGAACTCAAACATTTTCCTCTCACTATCTAGCAAAATTACTTCCCTCAACTCCCATCAAAAAAACAACACAAAACCATCATACTCTTCCTTTACTCCACTGTCTCCTCTTTTCACACAAACACAACAACATTGTTCCAAACAAAACAAAAACAACCGGGACCATGTTGTTTCAGACACACAAAAAACAAAAACAACATCACAAGGAAACAACATGATGCAAACGCTGTAACATTTTCTCGGTATGATGCACTTGCTGCTGAACCTGAACCTGAACCTGTACCATATGGAAACTCACCACTTCCTTTAGCTACAGAGAGGCTTCAAGACGAATTTAGAAAGCTATCAATGCAAATGGCCACGACGTTTGAAGCAAATGAGACAGCTACCACGAGAGCGCTTACAGAAGCAGGTGAGCTTCGCATGCAGAAAAAAAACTACTGGAGGAAATGCTGCGTAAAGTCAAACAAGAGGTTCAGTCAGTCAAAGCTGATTATGAAGTCAAACTGAATGAACTTTCCAACAAAATAGATACCATGACAATTCAAATGCAACAGATGTTGCTGGAAATTGATGACAAGTCCATGCAACTTGAAATATCAGAAAAAAGCACGAGGAACTTGTTGGCAATGATTTCTCCGAGGCGATCCAATTGCTAAAAGATGAAAATGAAAAGCTTACAGTGGAAATCTCATGCTTATCTGAGCAAGTAAAACAAAAGGAAGTCTCAAGTTCTGACTTGGAACTTATGAAGAAATCACTCGAGGAATATGAGACCCTCTTCAATACTCAAAAGGAAGAGAGAAATGAGCTTGTGAGTACAATTGCTCTGTTGAAGAAGGAAGCAGAACAGTCACTTTATGAGCTAAATAGGACGGGGCATCTCAAAGACGAAGAAGAGAAAGCGGGTAAACTCTTGCATTCAGAGTTGGATGCTCTTAAAACTCAATATAGTGACCTGCAGCGTTCTCTTTTTGATGATGAGACTGAGAAAGAAATACTAAGAAAGCAAATTTTCCATCTTAACGGTGAACTGAAAAAGAAGAACGAAAACTCCATCACGCACACCGGCCGGCCGTCGCGCCGCATCGGACCCACGACCTCCTCTCGCGAGGACCGCCCATCAACAACAACCACTCCATCAAACAGCAACAAACCCCTTCAATCTTCACCGTCACAACCCACCTGCATCCGCCTTACTATCAACCGCCACGAGATCTAAATTCGGTACATCTGTGCGCTGACCCTCGGTGACCATGCATCACCAACAACCGCCGGTTTGAACCGCCAGCTTCTCCGCTCAACACAGCTGTGGAATCGTGTCGATTAGATCTCCCTCTGCGCGCCGCTGTTCAAGCTGCAACCACCAACGGTCAGATTTTACCTTGTTATGTTTTTATATTGTTGTTTGGTTTTTGGGGTGTGGTTTATGTTTAAAGAGTGAAGTTTGTTTGAAATAATGAAGAAGAAATAAGAAGGAGAAATAAGTGTTATATTGTCGGTAAATTGTTTTCTTTGGCCTTTTGAGCACTTTTGAGCACTTTTTATTTTCTAGCCAGTGTAGTTATTAGGATGCCGTGACATGTCAATCCATTTTGCCTATGGCCAACATTAAGATTTACAAACACTATGGTTAATATATTATTATGTATCCCTTGTTATTATTATTGGTGTTGCTTGTTGTGGTTTATGTGACTTTTATTGTTGCTGAACATTTAATTTTGATAGTAAAAATAGAAAAAACATGATATAAAAAAAATGATTGAAAAGAGAGTAGACATTAGATTTTAAATTTAGAAATAGTAATGTTTTATCTTTTTTGTCATTTATATTACTTTAGTATATTATGTAATGTGTAATTAATTTGTTGGTTTGTAAATAAATTCAATTTGTGATTTAATTTTCTTATTGTTTTATTTAATAGAAACTTTTGAGTTTTAGATTTAGTTGGAATTTTATCTTGTAAATAAATTTAAATTGTGTTGTCTACTTTATATCATTTCATTGTGATTTCAAATTTTGAGCTCGATTTAATTTTCGAATATATAATGGATGTATAAACTTCACTGACCAGTTTTTTTATGGACTTCGATTCGACGCATTCCGGTCCCATAGCTTGATTCTTTATTTCACATGAGATGTTCATGTTATTTCTCTGTTATCCTGTTTATCTGTTTGTTGGAGTTTTTTTCATGTGATGTAGGGAATCTTATACCGTGAGCGTCATCCACGATTTCTTTCTTCCGTGATTTATTTTCACGCGTTGCACTTCTCGCTTGTGGTTCATTGCGCTTTATTCGCTGCTGGAAGTATTATCTTACATCTGGTTTTTTTTTATGCTGTCGGCTTGTGATTTATTTTCACCTAAGGTTTGATATACTTTTAGCTTATTTATCTGTCTGTGGTTTTAATTCCAAGGGAAAGATTTAAATTTGTTGACTTCACGTCATCAAATACGTCTTCTACAATCGTGCGAATACCCTCATTCATTTTTTGCTTGTTTACTATTTTTCCAAACTTAAGATAATTTTCCCAAAAGACTCCATTTTCAAACTCACACCCTTTTAAGTCAAAACTTCGACATTAGGTCGCTGTCTCTTCAAAATCTCTCCAACACCGATTTTTAGCCAAACGAACCATTTTAATCAAACAAACAATTTTTACCAAAAACAGATATTTCAAAAGGTTCCTGCGGAGTACCGCAGATGTATTGGGTGCTAATACCTTCCCATTGTATAACCAACCCCCTAACTCTCGATCTCTTTTCAAAACGCATTGTATTTTCATTACTTTTAAGTATTATTATACATTGCATATTTTAGGGTTTTATTTCGCTCTTTTCCCTTTTCCCTTGGAAATAATAAAGCGCGGTGGCGACTCTTGCTTTTTTTGAGTCAAGTTAATTAATAGCTTGATCTCCGATTTTCACCGCTACAGAATTGGCGACTCTGCTGGGGAATAAATTGACCTCTTGCTGGTCCATCCCTAAGTGGGTTAAGCCTAATTTGTTTTATCTGTTTTATCATTATTTGATTTTTTTGATTATATGTATATATTATGATTATTTGGGTGTTGATAATATTTACAAAGGACAAGTCCTATACCCGGACTAAGTTACACTTAGGAATAGGACGGGCGGTATAGTCATGTTAACTTTGAGGGAGTAATCCCGAAGAAGGAGGCATGAGATCCCCCACTCAGTGGAAGGCCCTTTTGAACGTAATATTTGTTTACCGAGTAATCGGGAAGACATTATTATTTTCGACCTGGGAGCCAGAGAAGCTGGGAACCGTAGAACCCTAACCCGTCTTGGTCTTTTAGGTGTAGCGCGGAGATTATAACAGAGTAATCCGGAAGTAATTGTTACGCGATGCTACACTCGGATGAGTTTCTCTTGAGAATATTGCTGATTATTGAGTAATCAAGACGTTGGTAATATCCGAAGGAGGAATGTAGACCCCGGGAACTCTTAGAACCTTGTTCTACAGGTGTGATTAAACCGTTAGTACATACCTTGGGGGTGTTCCTTACCTTGACTCCATGCTCGTGACGTTGAACCTTTCGACTTTATTTGTGACCTTGCTTGTGGTTGTTGCATAGCCATGCATTCATGCATCCATAAAACCCTTTTCACTTGACTTTGAAGGAATTTGGAGGTCTTTCTTTGTAAACATCACAAGTTTCGTCAAGCTCAATGGATCTTGGGTGTTGATAGGGCGAAAACCCTAATCCACCAAAATGGATGATTGATCTTGATGATAACTTGATCAATGTTTGGAGCCAATTTAAAATTCATCTTCTATCTTCATACTTTGATGTTTACAACTTAATATCTTGAGTTCCTTGAAAATCAAGTAAAAACTCTCTTTTGCATATCATACATTAGTCTACATTTTTTGTTTCACTTTCAAAGGTCTTTTTTCGAGTCTTATTTTCCTTTGGTCTCATCAGTATAACACTCGCGCTAAGAGGACAATGGAGAATATCAAGCAAGAGGTTTCTGAACTCCGTAGAGAGATGACTATTTTGAAAGCTGGTATGGAGCACTTAACTGGTTTGGTTGAAATTCTGGTTGCCTCCCAAGTCAATCCTTCTAGGAGGAAGGAAGCGATGATAAAAGTCATCACTGAAACTCTGAAATCATTCATTCATGAGAAGATGATAATTAATGCGCCTAGTGACTTTCCTGACAAGGTGAATGTGGGAGTGCGTCTAGAAGAAGATGTCTGGAAAGGATGTTCATATGAAGATGGTAGCTCCGCTAATGGTGTGAAGAAGTTTGATAATAACTTTTCCAAGAAGAGAACCAGAGGAAGAAATAATCATCGTCAGAATCATCATGTTTCTCCTATTCATCAACAGAATCAACAAGTTCCTAATCAGAGGAAAACCCAGTTTGATCCAATTCCAATTACCTATACAAAGTTGTTCCCTATCCTGATGCATAGGAATTTGGTTCAGACCCGACCTCCACCGAAGGTTCCTGAGAAGATACATTGGTACTACAAAGCTGATTTGGCTTGTACCTTTTCATCAAGGTGCTCCTGGGCATGACTTGGAGGGTTGCTTTGCTTTGAAGATTGAGGTTCAGAAGTTGGTCAGAAGGGGTATCTTGTCATTCAAGGACGTTGGTTTTGAAGTTCAAATCAAGCACGTGCCGAAGAGTAAACACGATTGATGGTCACTTTGAGTTTTGAAAGATGTTTTCAGTGATTCAAGTCCAGATGGAAAGCCTTCCCCAATCATTAACTTATTTCTGCTTTTTGTAATTTTTCTTGTTTATCAAAACATTGTTTGCATGTAAGAACTTGTTTGCATCTGAATGATTATCTTAATACAGTGGGTATGTTTGTCTTGAAGAAATTCATTCGTTTCACTCATATTTGTTTTCAAATTTTAAATTTCTTTTTTGCATTATGATACCAACTCGTTGCCTAGGCAGAGATTGAAGGGAGGATGATGATCTAAAGAACACAAAATCTCTGGTTATTTGCTTTCGGATAAAATCTTGCTGATGATGTACAGGCATTGTTTCAAATCCCTAAACACCGGAGATATAAGGAAGATAATCCCTTGCTAACCCCTTTTGAGCCTTGAAGTAGAAGTTCCTTTTTATACGAAAAAAACCTTGAATTTTAACCTGGGGCAGGGTAGTTTTTAGTTAATCTGACTGAGTGTTCGAAATTCATAAGGAAGATGTTTTTTGAAGAGAAACTACGAGGGCTATCTTTCATGTATAATGAAGCCAGAAGATGTGGAATCATAATGTTATCCCTCATTCATCAAGAAACGAGTCAATCACAATCTTCTCAACAAGCAAATACAAGCTAATGTCACACATTTTGTTCAAAAAGTCAAAAATCGAGAAAAAGAAAAAGCCCGCTAAGTCAAAAAACATGAAAACGTGTGACTTAGGCAAAATTAAGGCATCCCGCTGGACTATCAATTCAAAAGAATTAGTTCAGGCAAAATTTAGGGAAAATAAAATCGCAAAGAAAAGGACTGCAAAGAAAAGTCCTCAGCAAAGAACAAATTGGTGACTACAAACACGAAGACATGAGGGCGGTTTCTACTCCGAAAGCCTCGTCGTTTCCTTGACTGTCACGAAATCCTTTTGAGAGATGAACACTCATGTTGAATTAACTGAACATAGGATTGGAGAACATCATGAAGGGGGTGGGCACCAAATATCTTGAGCCTTAAATCCTTTTTTTTTCTAAAACCATGAACCAGACCACATTACAACCTTCAAAAGTCCTAATTGAAGCAAGGTTATTTTGAAAGCATACTTCAATGAGATAGTGTTCTTGACTCCTATGAATGTTCTAAATAGTTATGTTGGTATCATATGTTTTTCCTATACAAAAATAAATGGTGCTTTAACTCGCAAATTTCTACGATATCTTTCAAAATCTTCAAGACTTACATAACTGTTGCATTAAAATTTTCATTCTCATTGTAAACTTTTTCTAACTGCAAAACATTTGTATGTTATCAAGGAAACTCACATATAAGCACCAGTGATGAGTCTATTCTCAAGGCCTGAAGCTCTGTTGGGCAATTGGCGAATTATTTCAAGAAAATCATATCCAGGGGCATGTTACCTGAAGACCTTAAGCACGGACGTGTTGCTTCTCCTAATTAATGCTTTCCCAACTTGTTTACTCTTTTGGGGCAAAAATTTGAAGACTTTGTTGTGCCAACTACAGTCAATCCGGGGCAATCACGTCGAGATTTGATAAATTCCTCTAAGAGTTTGAAGACACCAGAGCATGGTGAATGCCAGGTCTTTTGTAAAATCCTCTTGAGACGATTTCTCCTCATCAACCAGATAGCTTGGGGCATGTTAGAAGTGAAGCTATTCGCAAGAATTGTCGTGCAACATGCAGCTCATCAGCAGTAAACTTGGGGCATCTAAAATTGGTCCCAGGGGCAATCTAGATTTGTCAAGACATGTGATATGTATTGCACACATTATCAGAGGGTGGTGTTCCCAGTATCGCCAGCTAAGCATGACTTTTTCTAGCTGAGGCATTGTTCGTGTTGTTATCCTTTCAATGGATTGTCGACAATAGAAGATTGGACTTTGAGTTTTCTACCTGAAAATATCTTCCTCTCCAGAGATATTTAAGCCTTGTAAAAGAACTTTGCTCCAATGATGGCCTGTGTTTTATCTCCAGTAATGTTCCCATCCTGTTGAGATTAGCCGAGTGTTGGGTTGTGCTATGATGTCTTATCATCTCTAGTTTATCTTGTCTATTTGTTTTGCCAGCACATACATGGCATTCATTTATTCATTCACACTTGCATCATGCATGCACAGTTGTATTTGTTGATGTCATTGAAGTTCGTATACCTCGGTTATGTCTATTCAAATAGTATATTTGATCTTTCCAAATAGAGTGTCAACTTAAGCAGAAAGTGCGCCTCTTTTCTAATTCCACACTGAGTTAACTCTCATGGAAGAATCTTGCTTTAGCTTTCCTTTTCCATCGCTGGATAGGATAAATCCCCATTTGAGTTATTTCCTCATTGGGCGGAGTCTTGTTTGACTATTTTCTCTCCAGTTTATTCCTGGATTGAGCTTTGTCTCTTGTGAACGATACCCTGTGGATCTCTCTAGGCTGTGAAACCTAGATGGAGAGTGCATTTATTTTGCAACGTAAATACTTGGTCTCCTCAAGAAGGATTTATTCATGGTTCCCCATTGAAGATGAACTTTATTCCCCAGCAGTGTTATCACAACCTTCTTCTGGAATATCGACATGACAACAAGCGACTGACTCTTTATTTGAGCAGTTTGATTATTTCTGATTTCTCTACGACAAATGGCGGTCTCTTCATGAGCAGTTTGTCCATCCTCGATGAAATTATTGATTCTCACCTCCAGCAATATCTTCACGATATTTTATGGGTATCTTTTTGGGAAACAGCAAGCGGCAGTCTCTTCATGAGCAACTTGTGTGTTATTTTTCTCTTGAAAAACATCAAGCGGCGGTCTCTTCATGAGCAACTTGTGTTATTGGTAATTTTGAAAAGAAACAGCAAGCGGCAGTCTCTTCATGGACAACTTGTATGTTATCAACCCTTTTTAAACAGCAAGCGGCAGTCTCTTCATGGACAACTTGTATGTTATCAACACTTTTTGAAAACGACAAGTGGCAGCTTCTTCACGAGCATCTTGTACGTTAGTATTTTTGAAAGACAGCAAGTGGCAGCTTATCTATTTGAGCAACTTGTGTGTTATTGTTCCCTTGAAGACAACAAGTGGCAGCTTCTTCATGAGCAGCTTGTGGGTTATTGGCAACAAGTGGCGGACTCTTCATGAGCAGCTTGTGTGTTTTAATATTCTTTGAAGATAGCAAGTGGCAGCTTCTTCATGAGCAGCTTGTACGTTAGTATTTTTGGAAGACAACAAGTGGCAGCTTATCTATTTGAGCAACTTGCGTGTTATTGTTCCCTTGAAAACAACAAGTGGCAGACTCTTCATGAGCAGCTTGTGTGTTTTGATATTCTTTGAAGACAGCAAGTTGCAGCTTCTTTATGAGCAGCTTGTGGGTTTTGGCAACAAGTAGCGGACTCTTCATGAGTAGCTTGTGTGTTTTAATATTCTTTGAAGACAGCAAGTGGCGGTCTCTTCATGAGCAGCTTGTATGTTATTGACACCTTTGAAAGGAAGCAAGTGGCGGCCTCTTTATTTGAGCAGCTTGTGTATCCCCAACAATAATGTCTACTCAGCAATGGCACCCTCCGGAAAAGTCCCGTTGGAAAGTTTGTTATTTTATCCTTTTCAAGCGATATCTTGGTTAAAGAAGAAATGTGTTACCGTTCTTGGTAAAATTCAGAAGTCAGAGATGTTTATCTCCAGCCACAGTGCTGACATCAATCATTTCCTTTTCCAGTCATAGTGCTGATGTCAATCATTTCTTTCCCAGTCATAGTGCTGATGTCAATCACTTCTTTCCCAGGCACAGTGCTGATGTCAATCATTTTCTTTTCCAGTCTTAGTACTGATGTAAATCATTTCTTTTTCCAGTCTTCATACTGATGTAAATCATCTCTTTTCCAGTCTCAACACTGATGTAAATCATTCAAGAGTCTCTCATTTGAAGTCTATGACTTTGTTTCCCCAGTGGAGTTACAACCTCTTCCTCTGTGGGATTACTGTATAATGAGCTTGGTTTCTCCAGCATAGTCTGTCTCATATGGCGTTATTCCCCATAAAATTCAAAACATCACATTCATATCATATCATAAACATAATCGCGGTATCTTAAGGCCAAAAATTGTATATTCTATATTTAAGTCCCTTCAATCTCGTCGAAATGAAGATCCCAATCTTCATATCTCCAGATAGAAGAAACTTAAATAGGGGCAGCTGTTGTACCCCAATTTTTGACCTAAGATCCCATTTTTATTTTTTGCATTTTTTCAAGATAAGTCAAGGTCACGAAATACGGTCGGTTTTAACGCCTCACCTTCGAGCTTTGACTATGCAGAAATTGTCAAATATTTTGAACATTCTTAGCCTATGTATCACTAACTTCTAATCAAGCACGAAGTGTGTGTTTTTTGTTTCTTTGATTTCATTTGCAGGAAACAGATCTGAATCAAGAGCATCAGGCGTCATACCTCGATTAGGGTTCAGAATCTCTCAAGCCAGAAGTACGGTTGATTATGGATTCTCGAAGATTGATTCATCAAGGCACAACCGTTGCACCCTTAATTTTGCCCCTAATTTTTTCAGTCGCACATTCACACCATATTTTGTCATTTGGTCACAATCATTAGTAAATATCTTCATTCATCACATTTTGCATCATTAGTCGTATTTAAGACCGGAAAAAGTCAGTTTAAATCAAAGTTTGCATCGTCTTTCAGTTGTAAAATACCCGACATTTCACTTCATTCATTTTGATCTCTTTACTCGTTTCTTGCATTGCTCCAAGTTGTTTATATGTCGATAATAAAAATATTTTGGTTTTATAGACAGATTGTTAAAAGCGATTCAACAATGTGCGAAAATTAGTAGCGAGAAAATATTTCAAGTTTTCACCTTTTTACCGATCATTTTATGAATCTGCGTTTCGCGTAGATTATGACGGTATGCTCGCTTTATTTTTTCGGTACAGTTCGAAGTCTCGTTTTTAACCTTAAACGTCTGTTTAGTCTGATATTTTTATTATTATTTTATTTTTGATTTTTTGACTTCTTGAATATTTTTTCTTTAATCTTTGTGACATGTAGATTATTTTAATGTGTTCATTTTATTTTTTCGGATAAATTTTCGTCCGTTTTTTATCATTTTCGGTCATTTTGGGTCTTTATTTTTATTCATAAAATATTCAAAAAAAATCATTTTTAATTGAGTTAATTTAAATACTTTCTGTTTTATTTCATTTTATCATTAAAAGGGCTTTTTTTAGTCACAAAATATATTATTCACTCAATACTCTCCCTCCTATTTTTTCAATCCACACAATCTTTCCCCCCACAATCAAAAAACTCCCGCCTGCATACACCCATCACCATCCCATTATGCAGTACATAGTCTCTGCACCTATTCTTCCTCACATGACAACCAACATCTCTCAGAACTCAAACATTTTCCTCTCACTATCTAGCAAAATTACTTCCCTCAACTCCCATCAAAAAAACAACACAAAACCTACATACTCTTCCTTTACTCCACTGTCTCCTCTTTTCACACAAACACAACAACATTGTTCCAAACAAAACAAAAACAACTGGGACCATGTTGTTTCAGACACACAAAAAACAAAAACAACATCACAAGGAAACAACATGATGCAAACGCTGTAACATTTTCTCGGTATGATGCACTTGCTGCTGAACCTGAACCTGAACCTGTACCATATGGAAACTCACCACTTCCTTTAGCTACAGAGAGGCTTCAAGACGAATTTAGAAAGCTATCAATGCAAATGGCCACGACGTTTGAAGCAAATGAGACAGCTACCACGAGAGCGCTTACAGAAGCAGGTGAGCTTCGCATGCAGAAAAAAAACTACTGGAGGAAATGATGCGTAAAGTCAAACAAGAGCTTCAGTCAGTCAAAGCTGATTATGAAGTCAAACTGAATGAACTTTCCAACAAAATAGATACCATGACAATTCAAATGCAACAGATGTTGCTGGAAATTGATGACAAGTCCATGCAACTTGAAATATCAGAAAAAAGCACGAGGAACTTGTTGGCAATGATTTCTCCGAGGCGATCCAATTGCTAAAAGATGAAAATGAAAAGCTTACAGTGGAAATCTCATGCTTATCTGAGCAAGTAAAACAAAAGGAAGTCTCAAGTTCTGACTTGGAACTTATGAAGAAATCACTCGAGGAATATGAGACCCTCTTCAATACTCAAAAGGAAGAGAGAAATGAGCTTGTGAGTACAATTGCTCTGTTGAAGAAGGAAGCAGAACAGTCACTTTATGAGCTAAATAGGACGGGGCATCTCAAAGACGAAGAAGAGAAAGCGGGTAAACTCTTGCATTCAGAGTTGGATGCTCTTAAAACTCAATATAGTGACCTGCAGCGTTCTCTTTTTGATGATGAGACTGAGAAAGAAATACTAAGAAAGCAAATTTTCCATCTTAACGGTGAACTGAAAAAGAAGAACGAAAACTCCATCACGCACACCGGCCGGCCGTCGCGCCGCATCGGACCCACGACCTCCTCTCGCGAGGACCACCTATCAACAACAACCACTCCATCAAACAGCAGCAAACCCCTTCAATCTTCACCGTCACAACCCACCTGCATCCGCCTTACTATCAACTGCCACAAGATCTAAATTCGGTACATCTGTGTGCTGACCCTCGGTGACCATGCATCACCAACAACCGCCGGTTTGAACCGCCAGCTTCTCCGCTCAACACAGCTGTGGAATCGTGTCGATTAGATCTCCCTCTGCACGCCGCTGTTCAAGCTGCAACCACCAACGGTCAGATTTTACCTTGTTATGTTTTTATATTGTTGATTGGTTTTTGGGGTGTGGTTTATGTTTAAAGAGTGAAGTTTGTTTGAAATAATGAAGAAGAAATAAGAAGGAGAAATTAGTGTTATATTGTCGGTAAATTGTTTTCTTTGGCCTTTTGAGCACTTTTGAGCACTTTTTATTTTCTAGCCAGTGTAGTTATTAGGATGCCGTGACATGTCAATCCATTTTGCCTATGGCCAACATTAAGATTTACAAACACTATGGTTAATATATTATTATGTATCCCTTGTTATTATTATTGGTGTTGCTTGTTGTGGTTTATGTGACTTTTATTGTTGCTGAACATTTAATTTTGATAGTAAAAATAGAAAAAACATGATATAAAAAAAATGATTGAAAAGAGAGTAGACATTAGATTTTAAATTTAGAAATAGTAATGTTTTATCTTTTTTGTCATTTATATTACTTTAGTATATTATGTAATGTGTAATTAATTTGTTGGTTTGTAAATAAATTCAATTTGTGATTTAATTTTCTTATTGTTTTATTTAATAGAAACTTTTGAGTTTTAGATTTAGTTGGAATTTTATCTTGTAAATAAATTTAAATTGTGTTGTCTACTTTATATCATTTCATTGTGATTTCAAATTTTGAGCTCGATTTAATTTTCGAATATATAATGGATGTATAAACTTCACTGACCAGTTTTTTTATGGACTTCGATTCGACGCATTCCGGTCCCATAGCTTGATTCTTTATTTCACATGAGATGTTCATGTTATTTCTCTGTTATCCTGTTTATCTGTTTGTTGGAGTTTTTTTCATGTGATGTAGGGAATCTTATACCGTGAGCGTCATCCACGATTTCTTTCTTCCGTGATTTATTTTCACGCGTTGCACTTCTCGCTTGTGGTTCATTGCGCTTTATTCGCTGCTGGAAGTATTATCTTACATCTGGTTTTTTTTTTATGCTGTCGGCTTGTGATTTATTTTCACCTAAGGTTTGATATACTTTTAGCTTATTTATCTGTCTGTGGTTTTAATTCCAAGGGAAAGATTTAAATTTGTTGACTTCACGTCATCAAATACGTCTTCTACAATCGTGCGAATACCCTCATTCATTTTTTGCTTGTTTACTATTTTTCCAAACTTAAGATAATTTTCCCAAAAGACTCCATTTTCAAACTCACACCCTTTTAAGTCAAAAATTCGACATTAGGTCGCTGTCTCTTCAAAATCTCTCCAACACCGATTTTTAGCCAAACGAACCATTTTAATCAAACAAACAATTTTTACCAAAAACAGATATTTCAAAAGGTTCCTGCGGAGTACCGCAGATGTATTGGGTGCTAATACCTTCCCATTGTATAACCAACCCCCGAACTCTCGATCTCTTTTCAAAACGCATTGTATTTTCATTACTTTTAAGTATTATTATACATTGCATATTTTAGGGTTTTATTTCGCTCTTTTCCCTTTTCCCTTGGAAATAATAAAGCGCGGTGGCGACTCTTGCTTTTTGTGAGTCAAGTTAATTAATAGCTTGATCTCCGATTTTCACCGCTACACTTGCCAGTAGAGGAGTGCAACACATGAGAACACCTCTTTTCCTCATTGTTCGAGTGTGAAAAGAGTGGAGGATATCCCCAAGCAATGTAGGCACCGGGTTGCGAGCCATGAAGATTTTGACAGCATTGACATCTATAAGCTGGTCAGGGTTTGGGAACAAAACCAACCCATAGATGAGAAGAGCAACAATCTCCTCAAAATCTTGTAGGTCTAGAGAATTCCAGCATTCTTAGGCCTTCTCAAACAGAAACTTTGACAAGAAACCTTTGACACCACTTCTGGTTTCCCAATGACTTGTGACATCTGTGGTTGCAAGTAAAGGGCTTGAGCAACATATTAAGGCTTTGGATCTCTTTACATACTGTTGGAAGGTAGTTGATGGAGAATAGGAATCCTCAAGAGTTGAGAAAATTCCTCCAAAGTAGGCACCAGCTGGTAGTCAGGAAATGTGAAGTAGTGGTGTAGGGGGTCAAAGAACTGGAAGAGAACTTTCACCGTGTCTTCCTCTGTGTTGGAGTTGACCAAGTTGAGAAGTCGACCATGTCTCTCAGTGAATGGATAATTCTCAGGAATCCTTGAAGCTAGCTCCTTGAGTTGTGGAGGAATTCTCACTAGGTTAACCTGAATAGTTTTCCTGCGAAGTGAGTCTATTACCTACAAAATAGGAACAAAAATGAAGATCCAAAATCCTTGAACTGGTTAGTGGATGCATATGATGCTTCATGATGTCCATGATGTTATGCACAAGTATATATGTACAAAAAAATCACACAAGTTCCTAGTTTAGGCTTGCATGGGGTTTCATAGGTAAGTACCCTCTTGAAGTTTAGTTGTCTCAACCTGTCCTATAAATAGTAACCGGGTTCTAAGGAGCTCAATATCACTGGATTTTTTTCTGTGTTCATTGTTTCAGTTTAGCCACTTTACTGGCGACCACAATATTCCAAGAAAACAACCCTTAATGAGTGTAGTATCGAGTATCTACCAACTTCGGACTTCACCAAAGCCGGTCATCTCACTACATCCTAAAAGGCCAAGATGGTCAAGTAAAGGTTCTAAAAGTCCATTAGTGCTTCATAACATCACTCAGCGGCCCCATATTCTCTTTGATTGACTCAAAGGCTACCGGTACCCACAAATATGTCGCACTAATATAGCTATTTCTTAGACCATGTCGGTATTCCCCACACATTTTCCATAATGTATTGCTATTTACCTATGAATGTTTCCCAAATCCAGGTAGAGGATTCAAACCCAAACAATAGAACCAAAATGTAAAGCATACAAGTCAAGCAAGATAAGCATGTAAAGGTGATCTAAACCCTAAGGTAACCCCACTTTTATAATTGTCCCCAACAGAGTCTCCAGTTCTGTGATACGGTGGGAGAACTGACTTGAGGTTTTGAGTTTGTGTTCGCAATTGTTTCGGTTTGGCAAGAGTCGCCACCGACTTTTTTTTATCCAAAGGAAAGGTTAAAAAGCACAGGAAAGACCTTTGAGATGTTTTCTTGAGTTCGGGGGGTAGATTATGAAAAGGGAAGGTGCTAGCACCCTTTTCATCCATGGTTTTCCATGGGCTCTTAGTTACTTGTTTAGATCACTTGCTTTGCTTTTCCAATTGTTTGAAATGGTGCTTTGTGTGGTTTTGAAAGTATTTTGAAAAGAGGCCATCGTTTTGGCAATCTTTGTAATGATTCTTGTTTGAAGAATGTATACAAAGATGTCTGTCTTTTGAAAAATGTTTCAATGTTTGAAAGTTTGTTGGGAAATGTTTTGAAATTGTGTGTGTGTTTTTGAAAATAGCAAGGATGGTTTGCAAATTTGATCAAGTAACTAGGAGCTTGTCTACCTACTAGAAAGTCTTTCCTACACATTTTTAACCCTTTGACATTGTTTTTTTACCATTGTATTTGGTAAACAACCCTATCTTTGGATGTTAAACGGGACGGGCGTGGGTCATCGTATGACCATGATAATAATATTGCCATGTATCTTTAGCAAGTTTTGAGGGACTTAAGATCATTTTTGTTTAGGCAACCAAGATAGCGTCATCGAGGGACTATGATCTTTTTGTTTTGTTTTGTTTTTCCAAGATACCTACCATGCATACCATGGTCATGTTTTAAGGAAACAAAGTGGATGAAACCCTAGGGGTTATTGTGTGCAATGTGTTGTCATTTTTTCATGCATTTTTGTCTTACATTAAGTCATGCTATTTGTTTGATTTTTGGTCTTTGCATACAAAACCCTAATCTTACTATCATGCATATAATACGATAAATTGCGCAATGTAAATCTAAGCTATTACAACAATATTATTGGGAGGGGGATACAAGTTTGAATAGGGGGTATTTGCACAAAATAAAACCCTAAGTCACTATTACAACCCAATTGAATTTATACAATAAATAAATGAACAATTATTTAAATGTACAATAAAATGTAAATATGCTCAAATGTTTTTGTATTTATTTTATGTATGTAAAATAAATTTATTTAAGTCCTAAAAACAAGAAAATAAAATGATTATTTTTGAAAGGGTGAAAAACCCTAACTTTTGATTTAATAGGAAAATATGCTTTATATTATTTATTTGTCCATTTTTTGTTTAAGAATAATAATAATAATATATACAAAATGTTAAAAAAATTAAATATTGTATGAAAATATTAATTTAAGTGTATAAATAATAAAAATAAAAATATATAATATTTTTGTATTATTTACAAGTTTTATTTAGAAAAATAAGTTATATTATTATTAATAAACTATTTTTATGCCCAAAAAATAATAAAAATAACAAAATAAAATACAAAAAATTAAGGAAATATTTTTTGAGATTTTTCAATGTTTATAAAAAATAAATAAAGTCAGAAAATATAAAAGAAATGAAAAATATACAAAAATAAAACAAATGGGCCAAAGGGGTGCAGAAAGAAAAAGGGGGGTGCGGAAAGAAACAAGCCCAAGCGCGCCAGGCCCACTTCACTTCATCCCTGTCCTCTGAACAAATACGCGCGCGTCCTGGTTCTGTGCTTGAATCCCGTTCTCTCTATTGCTTGCATGAAATCAAAAATTTACAACATGAAAGTTATAGCATTTTCAATCACAATTCCAATCATATACATTTTGTGACCTAACTCTCAAAGGTCAAAGAGAATTTCAGTGGCCCTAAATTCTAACCTAGTTTTTTCAGCAACTTCAACATCCAAATTCTCCTAGCTCAGTTGATATAAATAAGAACTATGCATATGTACAGCTCAAGGACATTAAGGACTACATTT